GGGCCGCAGCGAATCCCCGCTCGGGCACGCCCCTCGCGCCGCGCCCCAGCCACTCCGGGAGCAGGGGGCGGAGCACACGGTAATGACAGCCCGGCTCGGGCCACCGGCCCCGCCTCCGCCCGCCGCACCGCTGTGTGGGGAGTCGCGTCCGTGCCAGGCGCCAGCGGCGGCGCTGAGCGGGACCGCCCTCCCCGCCCCCGGTGGGTCTGCTGCTGCGCTCCCGGAGCGATGCTTTAGGCATGTGACCCTCCCCGCAAGCTCAGGGGGCTCGGATCCTCTCGGGATGGCATTTTAAGGTGGGGATTCTGAGGTTCAAGGGAGCTGACAAGTGATGGTGCCAGGCGTCACACCCAGAGGGTCTGGCTCCGTAGCACGGAGGAGACAGAGCCAGACAAGTTTGCTGCCGCTTTCTGTTGCATACGTTCTCACAACAGCCCTGTGAAGGTAGATACCATTATCGTCTCTTTTCCACGGACGGGAACACTGAGGTTCAGAGAAGCAAGGAGCCTAGCTTTCTAGCCCAGGCCAATGGCCCCCAGAGCCTGCACTCCCAACCACTACCGCTCCGTGACAGAGGAGGAAATTGAGGTTGGGAGGAGCGAATGGCGTTGCGGAAGGGTTTAGCAGGCACTCGGTTCTCCTGCCCGCCCTGAGAAAACGCCCTGGTACAGAGGTTCCAGGTTCTCGCTAGTGACCGACTCCGCATTTCTTCCTGCCCTGAGCCCTGGCTCCAGCCACTGGGGTGTGAGGGCCCTCGGCCAAGGTTTCGCTGCATTTATGCAGAGTCATAGATGAGCATAAAACACCCTGGGCCACAGGCTTCTGCTGCCTGGGTCCTGGCCTGGGGGCAGAGACTGAGTTTCTCTCCCAGCATCTAGCCCAGAGATCTTTGTCACCATGATCAAGTCACTGCCCCCGTCTGGGCTTCAGTGTCCTCATGTGTAAAAATAAAGTTGAATTCCATAACCTCCAGGAACACCTTCCAACATCCACAGACAAAGAAACAAGGTGTTCCCTTTAAGAGCTGCCGCCCCACCTTGCCTCCCCTTAGAAAGGATAAGGCCAGAAGGCTTGAAGGACAGGACAGAGGAAACAGCCACACAGAGCATCTTGTCCACTTTAGGGACTATTTTAACATCACCTTCCCCGCTCCAATATGTTCATGGCCTTGGTTTTCCCTACATATTAGTCCCCAAATGCTGGGAGTACATTAAAAGCTAAGTCTAGCACCCATTCCTCTCATCTCTGCGGCGCCAGCTCCCAAACCAAACCAAACTCACTGCCGTTGAGTTGGTCCTGACTCATAGCAACCCCTCCTTGGGTGTCCAAGGCCGTATCTCTATGGAAGTAGATTGCCCGATCTTCCTTCTGAGATCATTCAGCGGAAATTTCACAGCAGTCCTTCCTTTCTGTGAATGTTTGCTTTATGTATATAACAAATACACCATAAGGTGGACACACTCTTGGAGAACAGAAGGGCAGTGTTTGCACAAGGAGATAGCTGGGAGGGGGAGGGGCCACAGGTGTGCAAGGGAGGAAAGGACACAGGGAAGAGGTGACTATGAGGTGACTAAGAGGAAGTGGGAAGAGAGCTGTTACACTGTGGGGAATTGCAGTCAATGTCATGAGACAAAATGTGTATGAACTGCTGTATAGAAAATGAATTTGCTCTGTAAACTTTCACCCAAACACAATAAAAATTTAAATATATGTATATATCTATACACACACACACACACACACACACAGAGCACCGAGGAGCTCTGGTAGCATAGCGCCTAAGACACTTGACTGCTAACCAGAAGGCTGGCGGTTCAAACCCACCAGCTACTCCTCGGAAAGAAGGTTGGGCAATTTACTCCCATAGTGATACTGCCTCGGAAACCCAAGGAGGGGTCACTAAGCATTGGGTCTGACTCAACGGCATATAACAACAACATATACACCCTAAAACAAACAATAAAAACACTTAACACTGCCCAGGATCTCACAGAAATAGAATTCAACATCAGAATTCCAACAGCTAACCCTTACAGAATGCTTACTCCTTGTTAGGCCCTGTACAAACACACTATTGGATTCAGTCCTCCCAACAACTTGCAAGACTGATCTGTCATTCCTGTTTTCAAAACATGGAAACTGAGGCTCAGATACTGCCATTTGAGGCCACGTTACCATGAAGAAAGAATATTGCTTCCCTCTAATTCAGACACTAAAATACATTTTAGTCCTTCAATCAACTAACACAGGCTGAGTACCTACTTTGCTCCAGCAGTGAACCTACAGAGACAGATGGGGTACACTGAACAGAGGGGTTGGCAGGCCCTGTAAGCCATGGTGAAGACTGTAGACTTGATCCTAAATGGGCGTGTAGGGGGCGGGAGATGGAAAGAGTAGGGAAGGTCATGGGTCAAGATCTGTGCTCTTAGACACCACTGAGATAATGAACTGGCAATGGTCAAAGCGGAAGGAGGGAGACCAACTTGGGGCCCACTCGCCAGTGACAGTGCACATGGATGGAAGCAGATCCTCCTCAAATGAATACCCTCTGGGTTGTAAATAGTTACATGTTTATCAAACTTCAAAACCAGAGAAGCGATGCCTGGATCTGAACATCTTATTCGTGTGACCCAGCGAGGCTCCCAGAGTGAACTGCAAGGTAGGAACAGACAGTTTTTCTGGAAGAAAAAGACTGACCCCTTGTTTATCTGAGGTACTTGAAATGATTTAATATTTATAATTCTAAATACCCAAGTTAATAGTCTGTCAGAGTAACAATGCCTAAGAAACAAGGAACTCCTAATTTTAGGCTAAATGGCACTAAAAAATAATTGAACCGAAAAACCCAAACCTATTGCCATCAAGTTGATCTTGACTCCTAGCGACCCTACAGGACAGAGTAGACTGCTTCATAGGGTTTCAAAGGCTTTACAGAAGCAGACTGCCTCAGTTTCTCCCGTGGAGAGGCCAGTGGGTTCACACCGCCGACCTTTTGGTTCACAGCCAAGTTCTTTTACCCACTCTGCCACCAGAGCTCCTAAATGATAATTGGATGTTTGATTTGTAGGCCTGCATGGTTGGAGCTGGAAAAATACTCATCTTCGCTTTGTCTGAGACGGGAGGCAGAGTGGCACTAACACAGCCAGACTGGGTAGTGACTTTGGTCTTGACCTTCCACTTCTGAAAAATGGGAATAATAGTCTGTAAAGCTGAAACCTTTTTTATAATAGAGTGCCCTCAGTGATAATTATTATTTGTCCTATTTGAGGTTTCTCAATCATAAAGTGGTTAGTTCTTTTCTCCCATGGATTAATTAAAACAACCTTCTTTTTTATTTTTTTTTTTAATGGACTACTTATGAAACAGGTAGTTTCAATGACTTTGCTGTGACTGTCAAGGGGTAAATGAATCAGGGAAGCATAATTTCATTACGATTTGTCAGATAAATGAGTCAGATAACATTAAATATACTCTTAGCTGCTTAGCACTTTCAGAGGAAAAATGCTAAGTCTTAATTTGCTCTGTGGGAATTGGGTCTGAAGCGCCACACCCTAAATTTCACTATGCTTCATTTCTGCATCAGTCATCTGGGGAGTTTTGTCCCCAAAGCCCCTAAAGGGATGCTGGGAAAATCAATGATGCAACTGTATGCTGGGCCGGGAAACAAAGGGGCCCAATAAATATTTGCTAATTGAATAATTTTCATTCATCATCACTGCTATACGGAGCATAAAGTACTCATGCAAGTTCCTACTAACATGGGCTGCCTTGGGATTGTAAGAAAAATGGAAAGCTCTAACTAATTAAAATAATAATTCTACTCAACCCCCTTTTGGCCCTTAAGCGTGAAGGAGGCACAGCGGCTGGAAATGACCCCGTTGAAGATCACTGTGCCGCATAACGTGGGCTGACTGTCCTGGCAGGAAACTAAGTGTGCAAAGGGAACTGCAGGACGGACGCCGCCTCCCGCGGTAGTACAAGCCCACCCAAGCCATCTCCCCAGGACGGCAATCACCAGCTGTGGGAAGGGGGCTGCCCCGGGAGGTGTTAGGGATCCCGTCCAATTGCCCCCAAAGTGGGCCAGCGAGCGTGCCGGGCCCCCACCCGGGCGCGCAGAGCTGACTCAGGGCACTCCCCAGGGTGTAGGTTACAGTTCTGGCACCTGCAGCCCTCCTCCTGCCTTCTCAGGAAGCGCCCTCGCATCGAGGTCACCCCTTCCCCACCCGGAGAGAGCCCCAAAGTAGGTGAAACCTCATCCCATCTTTGTATTAATAACCATTCCTCAGATGCGCCCGGCCCTTCACTTTCCAAAGGGCTTTGACAGATGGATCCGCTGCCT